TAAGAGTTTGTTAGGACTGGTAATAATAAGAATTACAATATTTTACGATAATATTCTTCAGCAAATTGTGAAAAATAACTGTCATGAATAGATAGAAATTTATCTTCATTAGAGACTATATTACTTCCCTATTATGCTATTACATTTTGTCCATCACGAGCAGTTTTATTATATAGACTACATTTACAAGGTATTTTCTCCCACCTCTCTGCATGCCTTTGTGGTGTAATGGTAGTACACTCGGCGCATATATCGAGAGGTCCACGTTCGAGTCCCGGCGAAGAAACTGCTCATTTTTCATATTCTACTGCTTAACAAAACCTAATAGCTCTACACGTTAATGTAGAGCCCAGTCTGTAACGCAACTACAATGCAAGAAAAAATGTAAATTATGCTTTCCTTGCATTGCAGAAATTTGAGCTTTACGTTACATTCATTGTATTACGCTACCAAGTATTTATCATCCACTACTGTATAAAGTGTTGCCGCTGTAACAACATTGCACTAACCTACAGTGGTGGCCAAAAGCTCTAAGGTTTCCAGTCACAAATAGCGTTGACAATTACTGCTGACATAGGCCTAATTAAATAATCGTCGAAGTTTCCAGTTTTATTAATTTTAACGATTTATCTAAATGCAGAGGATTTTGAGTAGATGTTTAAATCAGTGTCCTTCAAACTCAGTAGACTGAGAAATGAGTAATTACTTCATTTTGAATTAAGACGAAAAGTTCTACGAAGGTTAAAATAAATTATTATTAAATCTTCACATTTAGCAGAAGTTGTGCTTTCAAACCAAAACTCCACCATTTGTGTTTATTTGTAATAACATAAGTTAAAATTTAATTCCAAGTAACTTAGTCGTAGACTACACAAACTAATCTGCTTAAGTTGGGTCAAATATTTTAAATGGCGAGTATTTAATATAGGCTAGCAAAACGGCTAAGCATGCAAAAACCCATGGCAGTTCTTTCAATAGGGATGTAAACTGCAAATGAAGCTGCCAAATGCTCCGGCTCTAAAGCATTCGAATCCTCGTCTTAAATCCGCACAACTAAATTTGAAATCTGGTGAGCACTACGGAAAGAAGAGGTTATAGTAAAGATTCAAATCATACATAAACCTTACTAATGCTCTATATTGTTCCACAACAGTTATGAGATAATAACTAATAGTCACACGTCACCGATGACCAACAGCTATTATGGACATTAATGTCCTTCGGTTTAGTTTTATTTTTAACCACTTGCCCTAAATTGACGTGCCACGCACGTCCCAGATGCTTTTGTCTCAAACCGCGAGCGACGTGAACACCACGTCGATAGGAATTTATCGCAAAAATGAAAATAACGTGGTGCACACGTCGCCTAACAACAAGATTATTTATTTCTCGAGTTACAGCTCTGAATTGCACTCGCAGACGCGGAGCGGCATAAATGAGACACTTTACCACTTCTTATATTGTAGTGCACGGCACCGCAACCGTGAATTTTAGTCGCAGCGCAAGTGGTTAAAAGTACTCAAGTTGCTTCCGTCTCCTCATAATTGGGGCATATATGTTGGTTCCCAGAGGCCTTCAAGTTGAAGGAAACTTGTGCCGAAAGGCTGGCATTGGAGAGGTTCATTTCTATTTCACTTTCAAACTTCATTTCAAGTTATGGTACTGCTTAGTACCGAAGATCTACAAGCTGCTCATGTGGAGGAATGGCCATCAGCCTTTAATTCACTGAATATAAAATGTCACTCTCTAAATCAGTGGTTCTTAACCGGGGATGCCCGAACCCCCAGGGGTGCGGGAATGTATTTTTGGGGGTGCGGGAGAAGCCCCTTAAATATCATTTATTAAATTTCTTATAATAAAATATTTGAAATCTGCAATAGTGTCCCCAATATTGAAACTCATAAAAATTGGTAGCACCTAGCTCACTTATCAGCAAAACACACAGGAAAGAGCCGGTGCCGATGGGCGTATACACTACGCTACGAAAAGGCATCAAACGCTACAAACGAACGCGAACAGGCAGCTAGGTGACGGAGAAAAGAAAAATCCTCACAATGGATTGGAACACACTTTGTGGGCATACAAGCGGAGAACGTTATCTCAGCTTGCCCATGCGCTGAGTTCAATATGTGCTACTCCAATAGAATCTTCGGATTCACAGATTTGTATCTGCATCTACTGCGCCTGTGTTAGGTTGAGTCAAGTTGAGTCAACTATTGTGTCTGCGACATGTGTATTGTGTATTCTGACTTGTCCAGAAACCTCTGAACTAATACATTCTTAATTGCCCGTTCAAGCCGAATAGGATTCAGTCATATTACAAACGTAAGAACATTATATACATAATATTACATTATTTCTAAATAATTAAATCGATATAGTGAACACCACTATGTCAAAACAAAAACGAAATGGAACGAAAAGTATGCCGGTTATGGATTTACCTGCACAATCGAAAAAGATTGCACGCAACGACAGCAATGCATCTTGTGTTCCAAAATATTTTCAAACAGCAATCTCAAACCATCAAAGTTATTAGAGCATTTCAACAATCTGCATGGTGGCGAAAAAGTGCATAGCATGAACAGCTTGAAGTCACAAAAAGGCTCGGTTTGATACCAGTGGAACTATCCTAAAATTGTGCGGACCAGCAATTCAAAAACCTTTATTAGAAGCGTCATATCAAGTGGCATATTTATGTGCAAAGAAAAAGAAACCTCACACGATCGCTGAAGAGTTGATTAAACATTCTGCTTTAATTATTGTTAAAAACAGTTTTAGATTCGGAAGCGCATAAAAAAATCCAACAGATTCCATTATCGAATGATATTATACGATAGCGAATACAAGATCTCAGTGAAGATATTTTAATGCAAGTAATTGAAGACGTAAAAATAAGTCCACTGAAAATATGCATGCAACTGGATGAGTCAACTGATGTTGATAATTGTAGCCAAGCTTTTGGTATTTGTCAGGTATGTGAAAGGAAAAAGAGGTGATAGAAGAATTTATATTTTGTGAGCCACTGGAGGTGAATACGAGAGGAATTGATGTTTTCAATCGCATCAAAGATTTTTTTACTAAATATCAATTACCAATGAAGGTGATTGGCTCAGTATGCACTGATGGAGCCCCAGCAATGCTAGGCAAAAATTCAGGAATTTTTTCACACATGAAAAGAGAATTACCGGAAGTTATAATAACGCATTGCATGTTGCATCGTCATGAATTTGCGTCGAAAGCATTGCCAGAAAGTTTAAAGCAACATCTACCTACAGCAGTAAATGTAGTAAAATACATCCGAGTGCGAGCGCTTAATCGTCGCATTTTTCGTGCATTTTGCGAAGAAATCGGTGCTGATCATACAGTGCTCCTATATCACATCGAAATACGATGGTTATCTAAGGGTCGTATGCTTAACAGAGGTTTTGAATTGCGTGAGGAAATTATTCAATTACTGACTAGTCAAAACTGTTATTTAGTAAAAGATTTTGAGAGTAATGATGCAATGCTGAGGCTGGCCTACTTAGCAGACATATTTAGCCATTTAAATGAATTGAATCTATCAATACAAGGATTTGGTATAAATATAATAATATCTAGTGAAAATCTGTCTTCATTTATCGCAAAATTAGAAATTTCGATACGTCGAGTTGAAAAGGGAAATTTTGCAAACTTTCCCTTGCTTGATTCTGTTATTGCGAAAAATGAAAAGAATACAATTATACCCGACATTTTAATACATTTGAGACGATTGAGCGAATCATTCAATGGATATTTTTCTAGCGGAAATATTACCAAAACTCAGAGATTGATACTGGATCCATTTCTATTTGACTTAAATTTGATGGATGAGAATGATCTGAAAAAACATCAACTTATTGAAATGCGAGCAAGTGGACATGTTCAAATGGAATTCGAACAATTAGAATTGCAACAATTCTGGTGTTCACAGTTACAAAAGTTATCCAGAAGTTTGGCGAACGGATCACTGCAGTTACTCTTACCCTTTGCAACCACCTACTTGTGCGAAATGGGAATTTCTTCGCTTTTGCATATAAAAACTAAAGCGAGAAATCGCTTAAATGCAAGTGGTGACTTACGCGTATATCTTTCAAAAAAGGAACCTCGCTTCGCCAGTATAATAATGAACAAACAACAGCAGTCTAGTCATTAATAAAAATAATGTTGTTATGTATTTATATAAAATGTACAATGTTTTTCAATAAACAATAAGTTTCGCAAAAAATGTATTTTTCTAGACTAAAAAAATTAAAACACATTTTTCAATGGGGTGCGACTCGCTAGAAAGATTAAGAAACACTGCTCTAAATGATTGTTGACATTCTAGATACCTTTGCACTTCCATAATAAATTTTATTTAAAACTTTACCTACGTTTACTCTCCCACAGCTGTGATCCAGTGATTGATCTTCAGATGTCATCAACCAGTAGGAACCAGCAATCATGAAAGGCCTTGGCGTGACTGATGACAAACAATTTGGCCAGCATCGATGCACTTAGATTTAATTTAAATTTAAATATAATCTAAATTTAATGAATTGCCCTGCAATGTTTTCGTATGTGTTAACTCATAGCTCCCCTCAACGTGTAGGTCATCAGCGACCAATACACTTGAAATGGAACTTTCGTGCTCGTATAATATGTGAGTCACAGGAATTTCCTGCCTTCAGTTTTTTCATTGGTTAGGCAAACGATGCCCTAACATTAAAAGGACTCAAGCTTGAAAAAACAAAACGAATAATGTCTGCCAGAAAATATACTTTTTTTTTTAAAATCAGTTATTTAATAAGAAATAACTACGTTCTTCCATTAATGTTGAGTTATAGGAAGTATCGGCCCATGTTGCTACGTCTCATCTAAATTCTATTGATTTCTGTAGCATTTCTATATTTTTGTGGCACTGCACATACTTGTATTGCAAACATCTGTAATATGCATACATGAGCAATAATTAATCAACATTTATTTTCTTTCAGACGGGGAAAACAACCAAGTACAGTGTCACGTTGAAAGTGCAACCTCAAATCAAGAACTCGGCAGACTGCTTACAGAAGAATGCCACTGCAGCAAATTTACATGTGAGTAAAGTATAAAATAACTTTTAACATCTCTGTTCTCTTTCACCGTTTTTGAAGTGCATTTGAAAATATACACTCATGTCCATAAATTAAGGATAATGCAAAATCAGGCAAAGAAAGAGTTAGAAGCAAAACAAATTTGACTTATTGGTAAAGCTTATTTATTAAACAAAAGGTAAAGAGCAAAAAAGATGCTATATGTTTGATATTATTAAAAAAATTAGCGATTTTTCCCCCTGGAGCAAATTACAAAAAAAAAAACATATTTGCAAAAAACCAATATTACATGGTTGGTATGATTGCTAATACATTGTATGTCTCCCAGACGATGCAATACAGTCCGTACAACGCCTAAGCATGCTGCATGCTGAGTATCAAATTATCGATCTGATCTTGGGGGATATTACACCACTCAAAAAGCAATGCTCTCCGAAGTTCCGGTAGACATGTAGGAGGAGGTTGACGGGCTGCAACTCGTCGGCCAAGCATGTCCCACACGTGCTCTACTGGATTCAAGTCCGGTGAGAATGCTGGCCAGTCCATACGGGTGATATCCTCCTATTGAAGACATTCGCTTACGATGTTTGTACGGTGAGGACGGGCGTTGTCATTCATAAACACAAATTGTGCGTCCATGGCGCCCCGAAACAAACGTACATGTTGTTAAAGAATGCCGTCCCGATAGATTTGGCTTGTCATGGTCCCGATAGATTTGGCTTGTCATGGTTCCAATCTGAACATGCAGGTCAGTTCTGGAACCCAGAATAATTCCACAGCAAACGAGCACTCCTGCACCACCGTAATGGTGTCGTTCAATGATGTTTTCTTGGTGGTAACGGGTATCTGGAGCTCTCCATATGAAAGTCCGGCCAGAATCAGAGTGCAAGCTAAACTTGGACTATTCGGAAAACATCACACAAGCCCACTGTTGCGGTGTCCACAATGCTAACTGCCAAATACCGGTCCTCATTCGGCGTTGTAACTTTGGGGCGACCTGTGCTGTAACGTCTACTCACATTACGATCATCTTGGAATCGTTGCCAAACCCTGGAGATGACACTCTGGGCAATTCCAAGTTCGTCTGATACTTCCATTTGGGTACGCCCACATTCCAGACTGCTGATAATTGTACCACGTAAAAAATCATCAAAGGCGTCCTTTGTGTCATAACTATTCGGTTATTGCACTGAAATGCTTATAGAGCGCCTGGGAACAATTTTACTTCTTTGCCTGTATTCCTTATATATCACTCTCTTACATTCTCGTCATTGTGACGTACCATCGGTGTCATATGATTACTTCCTGAAATTTTCATATGATTCTTGAAGATGTGTGTAGTGATTTTACAGGTGATATATTTATTTTAGAGTTCGATTTCCGCGTGACTCCGAATTATCCTTAATTTATGGACATGAGTGTATTTCGCCAATAAACAAAACAGACATTCTAAGCTGTTGAATTCCTCAAAGAAAATATATATAATATATATATATATATATTACAGGTCTTCACTTTAGTAATTCAGATTACTTTAAGCTTACAAAAGAAAAATTCGTAATTTAAATACACCAGATGAACTAAATTCCTCGTGCAATGAACATATTCTACATTTGAACTGGATGTCTTTCTTGAAATTTTTTTCTCGCTTTACTCGTCGCAATCCACAGATAGGTAAGCCAGAAAATCCCTTAACAGCTGGTGACAAGGAAAAAGAAGCATTTCTAACGCCAGTTTCAGACGCAAAAGGTTTATGCATGGTAATGAAAAAAAGAAGCATATATTTGGGCTTTGTAAGACAGAGAAATTGTTAAAGTGAATATGTAAAAAACATGGTCCAGGAAAACCAAGTATTGATGAGGGATATTTTGCACCACATTTAAATTCGGGCCGTCATGCAAATTGCTAATCGTTTTTTAAAGCTATAAAGCCTGAAATACACTCATATCCTTACCATGAGTTTCATATTTACAGGTTTATAGATAGATGGTTACAATAGGCATCCACAACGTGAATAATGAATGAGCACTGTGGATTACCAAATACAAGTATAACTGAGTTATAACCAGCTGAACATTGCATTAATTATGAATATGAGCAAATAACAGAGTGACAAATATTTTGGCTGCGAATTTAACATGATCACCACTTAACATAACGACACCACACACAAATGTATTCGAAAATTACATAGAACATTACTTGTCTCAGCGGCCACTTTGACTTGTCAGTACTACACGTAATGTATGGCTTTCTTTTATCAACTTCCATATTATCTCAACAAAAATACATAACACATATTATTGATAATAATATAACATAATTTCTGTCACCGACATAAAAAGCGCACAGCTGCCCCAATCAATAATTGCATTTTTCGCTATCTACAATATCTGGTGGTCGCGTAATTCGTAATTTTCCATTTCCACGCTCTTAGAACTTGCATTTCATCTCAAGACAAATTTTCTAATGTATATCTTATTATAAAGCGTGCGTCTCTGTAGTGACATGTAATGTAACATGTAAGATGTAATGTATGTTATTATCCATGTAACATTATAAGGTATTTCTCCCACTTTCCAAGCGTCCTTCGTGGTGTAGTGGTTCTGCACACTGGGCCGGTTTCGAGGACCGTGATTCGATTCCCGGCGAAGACGTTTGCTATTTTTCGTCTTCTCTGCTTTCAAAAAAATAACTAACGTCTCTACAGTGGCGCTCGAAATAAAAAGGGTTGTGGATGATGATTCTCCACACCCAGGATTTGGCGACTAGGTTCCCTAAAACCCTAGTCGCCCTTTAAAAAGGGGAGTATATAAGGTATTTCTCCCACTTTCCAAGCGTCCTTCATGGTGCAGTAGTTCTGCACACTGGGCCGGTGTCCCGAGGTCCGTGTTTCGATTCCCGGCGAAGGCGGTTGCACATTTTTCATCTTTTCTGCTTCCAAATTATCTAATGTCTCTACAACATAACATGCATGTTACAAGTGGCACGTAATGTACCCATGTAACTTTTATGGAAAAAGTGCATTATTTGAATATGATATATAGAAAAATCTAGACTTATATACCCATAATATGACGCCAATTAAAAATAGAAAACAGGCATTTACATAACTGATCCCAAAGAATCGAAGCCCTTTTTTATATTACTGGATTGTTTGCCTTCATACCAGACTGTTCCAAAACAATATTTCCATTTTTTGAATTGTAATCATAGATAGACTAATAATAGCAAATATGATCTTTTCGAGTTGACGCATACATTAGTCATATACTTTTATAAGTTATTAAGTCTTCAAAATGGCTACCAGTGTCAGTAATACAGGATCTTGCAACGGTGTAGAACAAGTCAACCAGCAGCAGACATGATCTCTTCTTAAAAAAAAAAAAAAAAAATAACCTGAAATCCATCTTTCATGCCATTATCTGTTTGTGCACTTCCATAAGGACAACTGTCTTGCTATTATGCTTAAGCTGTTATTGCATATCCCTTGAAGGAAAGAGTTTACTAGTTGTGTACCATGGCCAATTTCCATAACAGCTATACAGGCAACATAATTCAAGAAATATTGTTGCGTTGCACGGATATTAAAGGCCCTTGAAAGAAATGTTTTAGAATCCTACGTTGTTACAAGGGAACAGCATATCATAAGCTTTTAAATTTTGTTCTGCATAAACTATGCGATTCTTTACATCAAATTCGTAGAAACACTATTTGTGCCATATATTATAGGAAAGGTTTAGAGCATATAGAAGTATGAAAATAATAATTCACAAAAGCATTCATGTACTCTTTGCAAGATTACAGCTCAGACCGCTTGAAGAAAATAGGCGCGTTACATAACGTCAAGTGAGATTGAGTAATGTACTTCGCAGTAGACAGTTCTAAGTTAGGAGTAATATACTTTGGGAAAGGCCTAAATATTATCAATATTATCTATAATACTATATTACCTCAACAATAGACAATGTTTTTAAGCACAATAAACATGTTTCCTCACTCTGTTTATGTTCTTCCTTTCTTGTACTTTGTGTTCTGATCTACCGCACCAGAACACCTTTTCGACTATCATTTTCCATTGTCTAGGCATATGCTATCTCTCCTGGAAGTTTGAAACCGATTTACTGAAACACTATGTATTTGATCTGGTAGATAACATCATTTTTCCAACAGTATTAGTTACAGTTCTGTGGCTTCTTATCACGCCACGTTCTTCAAGAAAAATCTCACGAGTAGTAACATGGGAAATTAAGAAGTTATATAGGTGAGGCAGCGTTCATAGCGTTATTTGACTTGCGTAGTACAATGGTTGCGTAGTATGACGTACTGCATAAATGCTCCCCAGCTCGTACCGCATTCGAGTACTAATGAGCTGCCATTTCGAGCGTGACAGTGATATGGATCGGTGTAGTGCACAGCATCGTGCCTTTGCTGTTGAAACGCAGAGTAGTTATTTCAAGAATAACTACTCTGTTTTTGCTACCCAGCGTCTACTTCGGCAATATTTCAGCTTGGGACGTCATTGGACAGTTCCAGATGGACGAACCATTGCGACAGACATTTCCAGGTAGGGTAATTTACCGTTTTGGTGACATTTCCTGGCCGCCTCGCTCACCTGATCTTTCATGTGCAGACTTTTTCCTTTGGGGCCACCTGAAGCAAGAAGTTTTCCGAACACGTTGTACCACTATTCCTAAGTTGAACAATCGCATCAGAACTGCCGTCGGCAATTTCCCGGGGAATACGTTACGCCGAGTTATGGTAAGCTTCCAACGCCGCTTAGATGAATGTGTTGTGCAGAGGGGGCATCATTTAACAGGCATCATATTCAAAAAGTAATCCACACAATGTACAAGGACTTACACATTAGTAAATGGCATACCTTTAACTACTAATTGACATAAAAGGTAATAAATAAATTACAGTTACTGCCTTATAGTGTGTTTTTAATATCCTACTATAAACGCTTACGCACCCTGTATCCTAAGCAAGTCCTGTACGGG